ATTTTTGACGGGACTACACCACTGGCAGATAGCTGATGTTATTAGTAGTAACTTAGGCTACTTTTATTTTATAAAAGGATTAGGGTTTCGCGCAAAAAAATTAAAACCCATAAAATTGAGAAAAAAAAATTGCGTACATAAACGCACCCGAGCGAAGCAAGGGCTCTTTCTACATCTATAAGCCAGGTGACATAAGATTTTTCTAATAAACTTTCACTCGAAACACAAAACCCAATATCAAAACCTTCTTGACGTCATAACGGCAACCCTTGGTGCGGTGGTCACGTACCGTTTTTTCATACATTTTCGCTTTCTGTGCTGCGCGTGAGCATGGCTTGGAGAACGGGTTACAAAAAACCTCTATTATACTTTAACATTGTGAAGATTTAGACGTTTTTCTAAGTTCCAATCGTTTGTTGCTTTTTGGTGTTTAAATTGAGTGGTAATAATATCCTGGGTTGTATTGGTACTTAAGTAGCACTTATTATAACTATGAAACTGAGTGTATGTTTGTTTGTTACTCCTATAAGCTGAAACGGCTGAACCGATTTGGATAAAATTTAGTATACAAATAGACAATGAAATAGAGTAACACATAGGCTAGCAACTATTTGGCATCTTAGGACGCACAAGAGCGAAGCTATAGTAAGCCGCTAGTACAATGTGAATGCAACTCGGTCTTTCATTTTGTTAGGTTTTCAACCTTTAACCGCTGAACGGATTTTGATAAAATTTAGTAAAGGTGACATAGGGATGAAAATAAGCTGCATTCAACCCCATCCCGCTTACCATGCGAGCTGAGTCGCAGGCAAAACTATTCTGAAATTAAACGTCTAAAAAATTATATTTATCTTTTTGAAAGGACCACAATTTGACACGAAATAGTCACAGCGATTATACGATGATATAACAAAAGGACTCCATTTGATACTACTTCCAGTTTTAACCGAATTTCCAAAAAAGAGGTGTCTACTTCAATTGCCTATATTTCCAATTTTACAATATAAAGACGTGCGTAGCTAATATAAAGTATAAGTAATGGGCGTTACTACAACAGTTAATTAAAATCTTGGCGCAACTAAAATTGTTTTTTTACACGATTCATGCTCAATTTTGCGTAGTTGGTTTGACTAATTACATGTAGTAATTTTCCTTAGCTATAAAGCTAATGTTTGATGTTAATTATTTTTCTTAATATTTTAAAGGTGAAAAAAATTCATTACTCAGAATATAATGATTAACCTATACATATAAAAAACAAGTTATAACCGCGGTGCCGTTCGCATACTGTGTAAGTTGACAAATGATTGTGACGATCCATATACGTTATCCTACTAATATTATAAACTTTAACTTTAACTGCCTCGATGGCGTAGTGACTTGCATGTACGGCTGCACACTCGGAGGTCCTGGGTTCGAGTCCCGGGTCGGGCCAAGTTTAGTTATTGAATATTTCTGTAAAGTAAGTCTCAGTAACAGCCCGGAGTTGGGAAGTTGGCGGTGTTTCACCCCCGTGCCTCGGAGAGCACGTAAAGCCGTCGGTCCTGCGCCTTAACTCTCACTGGTCGTGTCGAGTGATCGTCCCACCGGAGTATAACAGTCACAGAAATAGGGAGTGCACTTGTGTCTGCGCGTATACTTGTGCACTATAATATCTCCTGCGCAGTTGGTTAGTCTCAATGAGATTGACCGCCGTGGCCTGAATCGGTCAGGAGAACATCATCAATATTATAAACGTGAAAGTTCTTGAGGATGGATGCATAGATAGATGTTTGTCACACTGTCACGCAAAAACTACTCAACGAATTTTGGTGAAACTTTACACTAATTATAGCTTATACATCAGAGTTATACATATGTTATCATTGTTAAAAAAAAAAATACATAATTGAACTTCACTTGCGGAGCCGCGGGGAAATTTGTATATATTATATTTAATAATTATAAATAAAAAATAAAAAAAACCCTACGCAAATTAATTGTCATTTGACGATTGCACTGTCACGCGTGAAGCACTTAATCGAGTAATCATACGCCAAAATGCCTTACAACATTTTGAAAAAGAGCTGATATTCTTACATTGCTGGACCGATATTAACCAAACATAGCTAACAACTACCGCAAGGAACTGGCTTTCAAATGAAAAAAACCCGGATCGAAATCGGTCCATCCGTTTGAGAGCTACGATGCCACAGACAGATACGCACCCACACAGACAGACATCGACGTCAAACTTATAACACCCCTCTTTTTGCGTCGGGGGTTAAAAAAAACAAATTTCACTCAAACCTAGGGCTAATAATGAAGAAAAGTATGAAATAAGTTTTTTTCAGAAATACAAAAATATATAAAAGTCATTAATTAACATAAAAATAAACTTTTCCCTGTGATTTTTATTGTAAGGTTCTTGCTCATGCTGGTTTTTTGAGCGGAAAGAAATAACATATACTCTCTCAGATTATCGTTTGTTCCTTCACACACTTATAAAATGTCATATTTATAAAAAAAATTATGATTAGGTATCTAGATACTCAAGTTTATTATATTAAGTTCATGAGATATATTTTAAAGTGTTTCTATCTACACCGACATTCCATGTGTTTTACTCTTTCATTCAAGCCACGTCGTGTATCGAGTGAATGGAGCGTTTTTTTGGCAGTACACTTGACTAAATCGCTGTGAAATTACTTGCCCGCCGGCGGATGTTTTGTTTGAAAGCAACGTGGTGTGCTTACTAGAGGGTTATATAGCGAATAAATATTGTGTGTTTTTTTAAATAAGCTTTAAATATCATAAATGATAAAAGTAAAGATATATTTATATGTTTTTTGTTTTGAGTAAGAATAATAATATTTTTTTACATAAATAGTGCTCAGAAATAAACTATGTATTTTATTTCGTAAACATGAGAAACAAATATTAAGTAATTGCTATAAACAAAACTAATTATATAACTAACAAAAAAGCACTCGTCATCAAAAAAAAACTAACGTTTAATGCAAAGTATAAATAAATAATTAATTCAATTTAATATCAAATAAAAAAAACAATAATTCTAATAATAAATAGAAAAATCTCAAAATCGCTACATCTAATGAACCCGCTACCACCTGCACCGCCACCACATTTCTTCGTGTACTGATACAGTAGCTGACTCATCTGTTATATAACGTGCGCTACAACTGTGTGAAAGTTGATGTCTTAGGTCATAGTCATGATGAACTATAGCTATTATCATTTTTGATTGACTTCAACAAAAAAAGTACTTCAGATGTAGTGTTTTATGTATGTATGTATGTAAGTATGTACGTATGTACGCAACGTTATGTTTTTGCCATAATGGTCAATTTTTTATGATTTGATTTAATGAATAGGGCTTATGTCAAGGGTGAATGAACGGTGGTTATATATACGATGAAAAAAATCCACCCCAAAAGGTGGATTTTTTTTTTCTAATCTCTATCTTTTTAGTTAAAAACCAATTAAATAGATTTCTATAGCGATAGTAGAATGTCGTCTCGTCTAAGCCCGAAGCTTATTTATTTATGTTATTATATAACTTTTTAATTAGTAATTTCAATTATTATACTTTCTCCGTCTTCACTTCGAGAAAGAGCGCTATATGGTTATTAGAAAAGGACTACTTTTTATACTTATGTGTGGGATAATACTTTACATTATTGATTTATGTTTGTGGGTCTCTACATTTTAAATGTATACCAATTAAATTTTACCAAAATATATTTTATAATTAGCATTGTCTGCGGCTCCGCCCGCGTTCAGGTGACCAAAAACCAAATTCTTAGGTTTTACATATTAGTATATTATTACAATGCAGTTTTTGTATTTTTTCTCAAAAATGAGATATTTTCCCGCGATAAAAAGTATCCTATATGTTGACCCGTATAACCAGCTGTCATCATACCAAATTTCATCAAAACCTGTCCAGTGTTTTTCTCGTGATGCGGTAACCGACAGACAGACAGACAGACAAAAATTCTAAAAACTATAGATTTGGAGTCTGTATCGATAATAATGTATGTCTATTTCAATAAGATTTTCCAAAAAATATTTAATGTACAGATTTGACTTAGTAACAAAACAATTTTTTTAATTAATTTTTTATTATATGTATAGAAGATAGTCTATTCGAGCCAATTATTGCTCGGAGTGTCAATGCATGTGCAAAATTTTATGCTTATTTTAATTATTCATATTATACTTGATTTAAAAAAAAACACAATTAATCCAAAGTTATAAGTTTTCGCTTCTGTTGGCAGTCCCATGACTGCCTATTTAAATATTTTTCCCTCGTCATATATACGAATAAATGTAAAATATAATAACTGAGCTAGATAAAATGTAGAGTTTTAGCAAAACATGTACTCACCGTCCCCACTCTGGTTGCTGCTGTGCGCGTGGTACTGCTCATCTGCGAATTCATACTCTATGTCAGATTAGACACATCTGCTCTCGACCATAATATTCTTCGATATATATTATTTAGATAATAAATATTTGATATTAAAATATTTTATTTATTGTTAATATATTTTTTTTATTTAAAATATTATTTTTTGTTGCTTGTATATTAACAGTTGGTAAAAGTAATTTTATCCTATAAATATATTATAGATGTAAAGTATATGGTAAATTGTTCCAAAGTTTCACATTTTTACCGACTTCGCAAATGGATGTTAGGGTGTATTTTATGTCGTTGCTACACGATATCTTTTTCAATTATATACCTTAAAATCGTTTGGTCGTAAATAAATAAGGTAAAAGTACTTACTCGTACCTACTGCAAAAGATTTTTATTCAATATAGATTTTTATAAAGTAAATCATTATATAAACAAAAAGTTACTAATAACATAATTATTGATAGCACTATACTTGTAATAGTTCAAAATATAATTATAACATAACATAGCACTTTTTCCTCATAGATATATTTAATGTAAAAAAATATAAGTCTCAAAATTATTACAATAATCTCACCTCCATTCCTATGATCGTTGCTGATCAATTCCTGGCTTTGTATCGGGGCATGGATGAGGACCTTCTGCTGAGGGCTGTGAGGATCCAGACCTTCGACCTCAAGTAAGGGCGCGTGAGTTTCATATCCATGAACGACCAAAGGAGGTGCGTGCAAATCCATTTTCAATTACACACTAAAATCTGGCACTATATCGTTGCGAATGTTCTATAATATATAATGAATGTCACAAATTGGCACTATAACTATAATAAGAGGATTGTTGGAGTATTATTAGTTTTATTTTCTTATAATCACATTCACATTTTGACTGTCACCGAAACCGTTTCCGAATCTTCCCTCGCATTTTCAACATTGTATCTGTAATTAGAAAAGGAAATTATTCATGTGTTTAAATTTTGATCAATAAATCGATTTTAACATATTTTTAACTTTTAAATAAAACTATTTATTTGGATTTTTTAAGAAACTGCTTTCATACTTGCTATATGATACATGTACAATATACATTCGAAACAATTTATATAATACGATTACCTACATTTGAAATGTCGCCAACCTAACCATGATGCGTCAATAAACAAAAATCTTCTCAAAATCTATGTTTTTGAACGCAAATCAGGAATACTATACCTATTATAATGAAGAAATATTTAATTTTAAATGCATTGTGGACACTTATTTTTCAGCTCGAATACTGTTATTTACTCGTACATTTGCCGTTTTCATACATTAAAAGTAAACGTTGGAATATAAATCACGTGTTCCGCTTAGCGAAATGTGAGTATTTGTTTAAACCAAGCTTCGTGCTGCGGCAACCCATTGTTTTCTATCTTGCATCTGGGAGCTACTAAAAGTTTAATACATAGTACCTACATATATATATATATATATATATATATATATATCTCCTTGCTTGGCTTCGTCGCTATGTATTTATATAATACATACATTATGTAGTTTTACAATAATATATGGAAGTCCGCCCGATTAGTTGACATTTATGATTACTGCTCCGTTCCCTTGGGTAGTAGCATGATGACATATAGCCTATAGCCTTCCTCAATAAACTGGCTATCTAATGCAAAAATATTTTTTCAAATCGTATTAGTAGTTCCTGAGATTAGCGCATACAAATAAACAAACTCTTCTTCTTTATTATAATAATAAAGATGATATAGACATATGTGTAATTTGTCTTTATTTAACCTTCTCGAAAAATATAATACTCTTTTAGATTTACGCGAGTATTTAGCATTTTAAATAAAATGGTCTTTTCTATTTTTTCAGCGGCTTATTTTGATTTTGGGTTCTCGACGTTTCTTTTCCAAATTCATTTCATTAAGTTTGAAGGGTCTACAAGTTTTGAGGATATAAATATCGTTTCCCAAGTTTTGTTACTTTTTTGAAGTCTTAAGCGGTTAATTTCTAAAATAATATTGATATTATTAAGATTCTGATGGTGAAGCCGTTCATATGGCTATGTGGGTAGTGGAACTCTTTAACGGCTACAAGTTTTAATCTTTAGGGGCTTACATTTACTTGATTCACATTTTGACACATGTCATGTCCTTTTTATTTTTTTATTATAAGGGCATTAAAAAATAGAGATCATATTGAGATTTTTAGTTTATCTTGTTGATGGATAAAATATGAAAATCAAGGGTATCCAAAATCAGCCCTAGTTCTTAATAGGTGCAATACTGCACAATTCATCAATTTCTTTCTACAAAGTATAATCTGAAAATTGCCTATAAAATATTATCAAATAACATCTATACATAATATAATAAAACAGTAATTTAGCGAAATTGATGTGCGCGATTCCCGCAAAAAGTACTGAACCGATTTTAACAAAAATTTGTGTAAATAAACTCATAACTCTGGTTAACATTTAGGATACCTTTTATTACAGGAAAATCGTTCATTTGAGTAACGAGTCCTTCTTAGAAATTTACATGTCTTAAAAGAAACATCAAAAGAATATTCTAGAAAATTGTAGACCTTAACAAGGCCTACAGAAAAATCTGCAATAGAATAAGTCTTTCTTCTAAGGTACACTCGCAATAACTATTTATATCTATTTAAAACATACCTAGGGACGCATCCGAGCAAAGCGAGGGTGAGCCACTAGTTTTTAATATTATTTTGATACTATTTTATGTCACTTAACGATACTTCATATAATTGTTTGAATTAAATTATTATAAAATTTACTAAATAAAATACCACATCCATTATTTCATTGTTGTAGGATCGTAACTAAGACCTCTATCTACTGCTATAGGAAAAGGTTTTCATATTCAAATGCTTACAATGTAGTAACTAGGGTTTTAAAATTGGTCTTGCTTTTGCACGTTACTATTGTAACTATTGAATCCTTTACAAAAGCCATAGAGCAGAGTTTGAGCTTCGACTTCTAGGTCTGTAGCAGGTTCGATTCCCATAATAAACCGATTAAGGGTAACCAAGGCATACGAAATCACAATTCATTTAAATATATATCTAAGAAGATAGAAAGCTAATGTAAAAATTCTTAGAAACAAGACTTATTATTCCAATAATAAGGCATCAAAATGTTTGATGTACGAGTACATAATAACATAAAATCGACGCAGCTTAGTCTTCATTACAACAGGAAATTGTTCGAATTATTTAGCTTAAATTTGCACTAATAGCTATATAAAAAAATTAAGGAAATGTAACAATACATTTTAACATGTTCAATTCAAAGAAATACATTAATTAAATCAAACTTATATTTAAAAAAATCTGTAATTCAAGCAAGTCACTCTCTTTCAATACCTAACTTCGGTTTGATCATTTTTTTAAATATACATCATAAATTTTGTTCTACCATGAAATCAAATATTATAATAAGCATCTTGTAGATAGGTATACTAATAAAATAGAGCACTACACTATATTGCTGGACTAGGATAATATAGTGCTGATAACACTCCGTCGTTGGTTTAATAGCGGTCTAGTATTTTTATTCAATAAACTTTCCTAGAGTGATTCGACCAAAGCTTCAATGTTACTGATTGTGTCAATGCACTTATTGTTTCTTATATAAAAATAATTTGTATTCGACTCTTTTTAACGTCCCACTGCCCGTGCCCAGGCCTCCCTTCAACAGGAGGGGGATCAGGCCATAGACCGCCAAGCTGGCCAAGTGCGTGTTGGGGGAATTCACATGTCTTTCGTAAGCTTGCTAGGTTCTCTAAAACGTGCAGGTTTCCTAAGGATGTTTTCGTTCACAGTAAGGCAAGAGATAATCATGTTGGAAATGATTCGCACATGAAAATATCAGAATTTGAACCCGCTTCACTCGGCTTGCCTAGCGAGCGTGTTACCACGGGGCTACCACTGCCTTCATTGGCTAAAAGTACTTTACCAGACTAATATCGGACCAAGAACGAAATAGCACTATAGTGTGGTTTGGGCCTCTCATGTAAACCAGACCAGTGATTTTCAATCTATAAGAACACACACGGACAAAGAAATGTAGTAGGTACTTAATAAGAAGGAACAAATAAAATAAAGAATTTCATACATTTGAATTCATATAAGAATATTTTTACAACTCTCAGAATTACAATAATATACACAAAGGTTAACCCAACAAGGCTATGGGAAAAGCTACACAATGAACCAACACACGCGGTGATGTCTTGAGATATGGTGACAATATAATAATTATTATGATTTAAATAACATTTAATATCAACTTAATTGAGCTGTCAATTGTTTTTTTATTAAAAATAAAATAATAAACGAAATAATTAAAAAGAATGGACTTTAAACTTACTTTTTATGCATTATTAATATAAAAATATATTTTTATAGAAGTCTAGAAAGTATTTAAGGCATATTTAATATTAAATTGTCAAATTAGGGTAAATTTCGCACATCGCTCAATAAAAACTGTGCGTTATTTGTCGGTCAATGTTACGGGTAATATGGAGATTATTCAAACTACTTTTAGGGATTCTTCATTAGCAGCAAAGGATTGAATTATTTTTTGATAGACTTCAAAAAGTCATGGTATGCCAATGGTATACCCTAAGCTTTAAATAAAATAAAATGAAAAAAAAACCAACCCGCAATAGGCCAACATGGTGGACTATGGCTTAATCCCCCTCAAATTGAAAGGAGGCAATGGGATGTTAAAAAGGGCTGAATAGAATCTTTAAAAAATATCAAAATCATTATTAACAATAAGCTTATACGCGTCATAATTTAAATGTTACTCCACTATCAACTATTTATCATAGATTAGAAGTTCTTATATCGATTAAAAATTACTACAACTAATAGAAACCGCAAGAATTATCTAGTATTTTAATAATAAGTAATATTATCGGTCTCTAAGCTACATGTTCACTAACGTACTGTTCACACGGTGATGAGTATCGTACATCCGGTCAGGGATCGTTCGTGAATCACTTCGGTTTTATAACCAGTGGATAAGCTATAAAGTATTATATGTATATTTTTGTATGCATATCTTTACATAGTATAAAATGAAGACACTTCCGCTGTCTGTTCGCCAAGATCTTTTAAACTACTCAACGGATTTTAATGCAATTTTCAGCAAAAGACAGAGTGATTTAAGAGGAAGGTTTAGATGTATAATAATACATGCATATTATAATACAGAAAAACCGAAATATTCAAAGATTTGTATTTCATACTAACGGTTAAAATGTACCCAGGGACGAACCCGAGCGAAGCGAGGGTGAGTCAATAGTTAAAATAAATTTTAACTAGGAACTAACTAATACTTTCTTAAATTTACGCTAATATTTGACATTTTAGATAAAACTATCTTTTCGATTTTTTTTGCGAATTTATTCTGATTTTATGTCTTAAACCTTAGACTCTCCCGTGATCGTGATTGCTGTAAAGCATTCGAAACGACAGGAACCAAAATCAAAATAAATTCGCGAAAAAGTGCGAAAATATAGTTTTATTTAATAATAACTAACTTCCAATATTTATATTATTGCATAGCATAAAAAATATTTAGTCAATCATTTTGATCTTTTAAATGCACATATATATGCACTCGTATGTATGTACGAATGCAGTTGAGTCACGCTCATTTGAAAAAGCTAGTGAAGCGAGTTCAAATCTCGGGTCTCGCACCTCTGACGACC